GGGAAGGGGCTCCTTACCGTGGTTCATCCTTGGAGGCCAACGGTGACCTGAGAGTGTGTTCCCTTCCCCCAGAGTGGAAGGGTCAGGGCCGAGAGGAGGCGTTGGCAGCTCCTCAGCTGGCGCTGTTCCCATGCTAGGAGAATGTCCTCAGCTGCGGAAGGTTGACTTGAAATGAAGCAAGAGAGCAGAGGTGAGAGAGGAGCACTGGCAGCTGTGTGTGCTGGAGCCTGCCTGGGGCCCAGGCTTGTTTAATACAAATACGAGACACAACAAAACCCTCATACAATTGCCTGAAATGCCACCATGAGACCTGTATTCTGGGTTAAGCAGTGTCTCTCTGTGGGAGGCCGAATAATGGCCCCCCAAAGACATCCACATAGTAATTCCTAGAACCTGTGAATCTGTTACCTGGACTTTACAGGTATGATGTTTTGGTTTTTTGGGGTTTTTTTTTTTTTTTTTTTTGGCAGAGTCTCTCTCTGTCGCCCAGGCTAGAGTACAGTGGTATGATCTCAGCTCATTGCAACTCTACCTCACTGTAACCTCTGCAATTCCCCTGCCTCAGCCTCACAAGTAGCTGGGATTATAGGCACATGCCACAATGCCTGGCTAATCTTTGTGATTTTAGTAGAGACAGGGTTTCACCCTGTTGGCCAGGCTGGTCTTGAACACCTGACCACAAGTGATCCACTCTCTTCGGCCTCCCAAAGTGTCGGGATTACAGGCATGAGCCACCACGCCCAGCTGTGATGAAGGATCTTGAGGTGGGAGATTATCCTGGATTATCTGGGTGGGCCCAATGGAATAATGAGGGTTCTTTTAAGAAGGAGGCAGAAAGTCAACCAGACAGAGGGCCGGTGCACATTTCCCCAGGAAGGGAACATCGGGCCTTGAGCTCTCAGCCCGATGGGCTAGGAGACATCTCTCCTGTCGGAGTCCAAAGGCTGCTCCACTGGGCCTCTGGAACATGGTGGGAACCCAGAAGGGGAGACAAAGGCTCAGGGGACAGGGGAGAGACAAGAACCAGGGCAGGGCTCGATTCGTTCTGCTTACATGGGCCAGGCCTTGGTTTGCTCCTGGAACCGGGACCCTGCCATCCTCCTGGCCTCCTCTCTGGGGTCCTCTTGTCCAGACGATGCTTGAGTGTGTCAGCTGCTGCTGTTTCAAGGAGCCACCAAGGCAGCCACCTGATCCTTAGTATTAACTATAAGGATTGTCCTCCCAGGTGGCACTCCCAGAATCCTCTGCGCCAGCCACCTTCTTTAACCCTGCTGACCTGAGAAACAGTGGTTCTCCCAGGGCTTCTGAGTTTGATGATAAATGCTGGAGATGTGCTCATTGAAACAGTGATGAGGAGGATGATCATGGTAAAAGTAACGATGATGGAAATGAGGCAGAGTATAAATATGTATAAATAAAGGCCGGGCGAGGTGGCTCACACCTGTGATCCCAGTACTTTGGGAGGCCGAGGTAGGCGGATCATGAGGTCGGGAGTTCAAGACTAGCCTGGCCAACTTGGCAAAAACCCGTCTCTACTAAACATGCAAAAAAAGTTAGTCGGATGTGGTGGCATGCTGTAATCCCAGCTACTCAGGAGGCTGAGGCAGGATAATCACTTGAATCTGGGAGGTGGAGGTTGCAGTGAGTCAAGATCGTGCCACTACACTCCAGCCTGGGCGACAGAGCAAGACTCCGTCTCAAAAAAAAAAAAAAGTATAAATAAATAGCTACTAGATACTGTGGCAGAATCTTCTGCACACTATCCTGCTTAGTCATCATAGTTGGAAAGTTTCAGTATCTGTATTTTATGGATGACCCTGAGGCACAGAGAGGCTGTGTGATATTCAAAAGGTCACACAGCTGGTTAGTCCTAAGGCTGCAGTTTCAGTCCACATCTGACTTTAGAGTCCATGCGCCTAACTACCACACTACTGTACCTCCTAAAAAATATTTTAAATAAATAATTTGCCCACTGATGTCTTTTGTTGGGAGACAGAATCCCGCTATGGAGTGCTGTGGCGCCATTGTGGCTTGCTGTAACCTCAAACTCATGGGCTCAAGCAATCTTCCTACCTCTAACGTCTAAATTTTTTTTTTTTTTTTTTTTTTTTTTTTGAGATGGAGTCTTGTTCTGTCACCAGGCTGGAGTGCAATGGCGAAATCTTGGCTCACTGCAACTTTTGCCTCCTTCAAGCGATTCTTCTGCCTCAGTCTCCTGAGTAGCTGGGACTACATGCCACCACACCCAGCTAATTTTTGTACTTTTAGTAGAGATGGGGTTTCACCATGTTGGCCAGGATGGTCTCAATCTCTTGACCTCGTGATCCGCCCACCTCGGCCTCCCAAACTGCTGGACTTACAGGCGTGAGCCACTGTGCCTGGCCGTTTTTGTTTTGTTTTGTTTTGTTTTGTTTGAGATGGGATCTCATATTGTTACGGCCCAGGCTGGAGTGTGTGGTGGCATGATCTCGACTCACTGCAGCCTTAACCTTCCAGGCTCAGGTGATCTTCCCACTTCAGTCTTCCAAGTAGCTGGGACTACATGCACACACCACCATAGCTGGCTTTTTTTGTTTTTGTTTTTGTTTTTGTTTTGGAGACAGGGTCTCACTCTGTCACCCAGGGTGGAGTGCAATTGTGTGATCTCAGCTCACTGCAACCTCTGCCTGCCGGGTTCAAGCAATTCTCCTGCCTCAGCCTTCCGAGTAGCTGGGATAAGAGGCCCCCACCACCTCACCCAGCTAATTTTTTTTTTTTTTTTTTTTTTTTTTTTTAGTAGAGAAGGGGTTTCACCATGTTGGCCAGACTGGTCTCAAACTCCTGACCTCAGGTGACCCACTTGCCTTGGCTTCCCCAGTTTTTTTTTTTTTTTTTTTTTTTTTTAATAGATAGGGTCTTGCTTTGTTGTCTAGGCTGGAATGCAGTGGAACAATTTTAGCTCACTGCAACCTTTGCCTCCTGGATTCAAGTGATCCTCCCATCTCAGCCTCCCAGGTAGCTGGGATTACAGGCGTCCACCACCACACCTGGTCAATTTTTCTATTTTTAGTAGAGATGGGGTTTTGCCCTGTTGGCCAGGCTGGTTTTAAACTCCTGGTCTCAAGTGATCTGCCCATCTCGGCCTCCCAAAGTTCTGGGATTACAGGTGTGAGCCACCACACCTGGCCAGATGTCACATTTTAAATCAAGCAATAGTTTGCTAGGGATGGACAGGTTCTGGGCATGTGGGAGAAGGAAAGGAATAATGGGCCTGTCAACTGGTGGGCTGACCTGCTCCCAGAGGTGCAGGGGACTAATCTAGGGGACTTAGGAAAGTGGTGGACCAAGGCCAGGTTACCTTAATCAGAACATAAATAGCTTTGGGCCTAACATTGCTTCTTAGAAATGGAACCTTAATTTTACTATCTCTTTCCACTATAGTTTTATTTTTGGCAAGACCTATGTCCAACTTTACATCTTGCCCATTTTCTCAAATAGTTTTGCACTGCCTGCAAGTTATTCAAGACAATGCAAAGAATGTTTTTACTGTGATTTCAAGTTGGCAGGGATTGGGACTTAGTGGAAAGCACCGAGGGGCTACTGGGCCTCAGGAGACCCGGTCCTAGTTCCCAGCTTGTTTCGTGCAGGCCTGCAGAAGTCCCCATTACCTGTTCAGATGAGGTATGTGGGGTTGAAGCCCTGAGAAATGTGGAAGTTGTTCATTTTTTTACGGGCCTGTGTTCCAGGTCCAGCCCTGTTCTCAGGGTAGAAGAGGGTGAGATGTTTTGATTCTGCAGTAATTGTTGCAGGCCTTTGTGCAGGCCCGGCTGGGAAGGGCAGAGGCACCAGCGTCTCGGCCTTTGCCTCTGCTTGCCTGAGTTATGGGCTGCTCCAGCAATTGGTCCCCTTGCTCCTTGGGGACTTCTAAAGGATAGGCCTTGGGTGATCGGAAGCAACTCCGTGGCAACCTCCGCACCCCACAAATGAGGGAAGACTGGCACAGGATCACAGATTGTCGGAGCAGAAGGGGACTCAGACTGGCTGAAAGTCACACACACTGGCCATAGGCCCGTTATATAATAAATAATCTCAGAGATCTTTTTTTTTTTTTTTTGAGACAGAGTTTTGCTTTTGTTGCCCAGGCTGGAGTGCAGTGGCATGATCTTGGCTCACTGCAACCTCCACCTCCCTGGGGTCAAATGATTCTCCTGCCTCAGCCTCCCAACTAGCTGGGATTATAGGCATGTGCCGCCATGTCTGGCTAATTTTGTATTTTTAGTAGAGATGGGGTTTCTCCCTGTTGGTCAGGCTGGTCTTGAACTCCTGACCTCAGGTGTTTCCCGCAACCTCAGCCTCTTAAAGTGCTGGGATTACAGATGTGAGCCACCACACCCGGCCAGAGATCTTCTTACATAAACAAAACAGATTCCTGGGGCTGCCAGGCTGGGCTTCGGGGATGAGGCCTGGGACTCCTGAAGAAACACCCCAAGGATTCTTTTTTGTTTTTTTTGTTTTTTTTTGTTTTTTCTTGAGACGGAGTTTCACTCTTGTTACCCAGGCTGGAGTGCAATGGCGCGATCTCGGCTCACCGCAACCTCCGCCTCCTGGGTTCAGGCAATTCTCCCGCCTCAGCCTCCTGAGTAGCTGGGATTACAGGCACGCGCCACCCTGCCCAGCTAATTTTTTGTATTTTTAGTAGAGACGGGGTTTCACCATGTTGACCAGGATGGTCTCGATCTCTTGACCTCGTGATCCACCCGCCTCGGCCTCCCAAAGTGCTGGGATTACAGGCTTGAGCCACCGTGCCCGGCGTACCCCAAGGATTCTTAGGGATAGCAGCCAGGTGTGGAAGCTTTTGACCTGGTCAAATCTCTCTACTTTTCCTAGGGAAACTGAGGCCCAACAAGGCCTTGACCCAGACATCAACAGCCCTAAAATCAGAAATTAGATCTTCTGACCTACAGTCTGATGTTCTTTCCACACCAAGATCAGGCGCCTACAGGACTCAAAAAAGCTGCCCATTATTTATTTGTTTTAATTTCCTCAAAATCAAGGTTATTCATGCATGCAGTGTAAAGAGTCAAATCAAGTAGTTTTACAGGCGTGCATGAAGAACGCAGCTCCCCGTCAGGGTCTCCCGTCTGCCTCTCCGCAGAGGCAACCATTTCAACCCTTTCAGCAGATTCTTTTGCTGTTCAGTCACCCTTGTCATCATTTGTGTTTTTACAATAAGCATGCATCACTTTGTTACTCTTATCTTAGTTTTAATAACACAGTTAGGATGGGTCACCAGCTCGGACCCCGGGCCTGGATGCCCAGGCATCATGGAGTGCCCCCGTAGTCACTGGGCACAGGCCACCAGTTCCTCCAGGGCTTGCTCTCGGCGGTTGCCATGGACCAGCAGCACCTCCTTGATCCGGTCCTGCTGGAAGCCCATGTCGCTGAACTGCTCCCAGAGGCGCAGGAACTCCCCTGCCTGCGGAAGAGGAGACGGAGGTGCCGGGGGCTCTGCTAGGCCTGGCCTCAGCCCTGGGGAGCCCCAGCTCCAGTGCCTGCTGCACCCAGTCTCAAAAACCTGTGGCGCCTCCTAGCCACGTGAGCCTGATCCTGGGCCACACCTGCCACTTTCCTGTACCACTGGGGGAGGTAGGCTCCAACCTCCCTTCCTCTGCCAAGGAAAGAAGGCTCCAGCCTGGCCCCAGGCTCTGCCCTGACTCTCCTCCCATTCCTCCCACTCACTCTCAACTTTCTGCTGGGGCAGGAGGAGGAAGACAGCACACTGGCACCGGGAGCACGAACAGCCCACGGTCCTGCCCATGTCCTGAACACTGCGGAGGTCTCGCAGCACAGCCTGCACCTTTCTTCCCCCCCCCACCCTGACCCGGGGGCTTGACACTTCCCCACTTCTCCTCCCTCTCTCCTTCTTGGGGTCTCACCCAACCCTCTGTCCCCTTCAGCCTCTGTGAACAGCTGCTCTGCCATGGGGCACTCAGAAGTGACTACTGGGGCTGGGTGTGGTGGCTCACGCCTATAATCCCAACACTTTGGAAAGCTGAGGTGGGTGGATCACTTGAGGTCAGGAGTTCGAGATGAGCCTAGCCAGCATGGTGAAACCCCATCTCCAGTAAATTCAAAAAAACAATTAGCCGAGCATGGTGGCGGGCACCTGTAATCCCAGCTCCTTGGGAGGCCAAGGCGGGAGAATCACTTGAACCCGGGAGGCAGAGGTTGCAGCGAGCCAAGATCACACCCCTGCACTCCAGCCTGGGCGACAGAGCGAGACTCAGCCTCAAAAAACAAGAAGTGACTATTGGGCCTACAGCTGCTTGCACTCAGGGTAGGCACACTCCCCAAGCAGGGAGCTCATGCATCTCTGTACGGCCCATGGCTCCTATCTTGGTGTGTGACAAAAAGTGGACACTCAGTCACAGTGGCTGCACTGATTCAGCCTAATAAAGCAAAGCCCCCGCTGCTCTTTGCCCCCTGCCTCTCTCCCATCTCTTCCTTTCCTCCCTCTGTGCCTCTCGCCTTTGCCCCTGCTGCAGTGCCCTGGGCCGGCTCCTCCCAGGGCTGAGGAGGCAGGCGGTCTTCCTGACGGACCCACAGGCTGGCTCTGAGGACTCATGCGCCCCTGCACACTGCGTTCCTGGGTCCCTCTCACACTCCCTTCCATCCCCTGGGGCCCTGGCAGGACGCCCTGCTGACCTGGCTCTCGGAGAACTGGAACATCTCCATGGCCTCGTCCACCAGGCCTTCCTCATAGCCCTGGCGTAGCAGGCGGTCACAGGCGCTGAGGTAGCTGAGAAACTGGGCCGGAAGTGAACAGAGAGGGAGGGTGAGCAGAGGGGCAGGGGCAGCAGATGGGGCAGGGAGGCACTCCAATGGCCTGAGCTGAGTGCCAGGAGACTGGGCAAGCCACCACACGCAGTGTGGCCCACAGAAGGGGGATAGAGGCTTCCTCTGAGGACCTGGGGCCAAACAGTGGGTCTTCACCAACTGTCCCAAGCTGGGGGCAGGACTCCAGGCAAAGGAATGCCAGGGTGGGCTAGAACCTAGGTGTTCATAGAACCTAGATGGGGAGCAAGACAGGCTTCACACACAGGCATCCCACCTACCACCCAACGCAATTCAACATTCGTTGAATTCAAGCACCACCCCCCTCCCCGGAGCACCCACTCACGTGAAGATGCTCATCCGTCCACACCTGTGCACTCCTAACCTGCCCCCAGCTGCATCTCTCTCATCCAGGACACCTGAGCCACTACTGTTCAACTCCTGAGCCAGTGCTGGAGAAGGGGAGTCAGGGAGGCGCAGAGGATGATTCCACAGGTCGGAAAAACTGTTCCAGTCACTCCACGCTTAAGTCATCAGGGGCCCAGGATAAAATGCTGCCTCCTTACCAGGCAGGGCTCAAAGGCCTGCTCCCTGTCTGTGGCCTCGGCTCCTCCCTCACCCTCCAGGCCTCTGCATATGCAGCTTCCTCAGCCAAGGCCGGCCTCCTTCCCCGTCCCTGGGAAGCCTCCTGCCCACTCTGTCCTCTTGCCCTCAGCACCCTGTGCTTCCCTGTTACAGCACATGTAAGTTTGTAATTGCTTCACTAAATCTTTCTCATCCACTAACTTTTCGCTCCACGACGGAGGGGCTGTGTCAGTCTCGTTCACCACGGTGTCCCCAGCACCCAGCATGGGGGACGAAGGAGCTCAATCATGTATGCTGTGTTTGTAAAATGAATGAAGACCTGCCTACAAGGAACTCATGGCTTAGTGGGGGAGATAAACCAGACACAGGACCACATCCGTGCCAGGCAAATCAAAGCAGGATTTATAAGGTGTAGGTGCCAAATGAAGGCTCCAGACCACAGGAATTACGAGTATACGTGAAGGGATGAGTGGGGTTTCTGTAGATCTTCAGAGCTGAGATGAAAGTACAGATGATCTAGACTAACAGTTTTCTAATTGTTTTTAGCTCCTGAAGTGTTTGCCTTAGCACAAGGAGGCTTCGGCAATAACAGGCTAAGATCAGAGCTGCTTTGGGAGAACCAGGGCCAGCGGGATGGAGGCCCAGAGTCGCTGCTCCTTCCCAAGGTACTGCCCAGTACAGCGAGACCTGCTCTGAGCACGTTTTGAAAACCACACACCCATGCCCTCCTTTCACAGTTGAAGAAACTGAGGTTCAGGCAAGGCGGGTGCCCTGCCCAGGATCCCAGGACTGGGGCCCCAATTACACAACCTCTCTTTTTTTTTTTTTTTTTTTTTGAGACGGAGTTTCGCTCTTGTTGCCCAGGCTGGAGTGCAATGGCGCGATCTCGGCTCACCGCAACCTCCGCCTTCTGGGTTCAAGCAATTCTCCTGCCTCAGCCTCCTGAGGCACGCGCCACCATGCCCAGCTAATTTTTGTATTTTTACTAGAGACGGGGTTTCACCATGTTGACCAGGATGGTCTCGATCTCTCGACCTCGTGATCCACCCGCCTCGGCCTCCCAAAACAGAATTGAGCCACCGCACCCGGCCACACAACCTCTCTTAATGCCTCGTCCATCAGAGGAATCAGCTGCTAGAGGAGGGGCTTTGAGCTGTCTTGGGGGAGGGCAGGGTTTCTAAAGGTGAAATCTTCACCTTCAGAAAAAGGGCAGGCAAGGACAAAGGGTGGACACTGCCTCCACCTTCTGATTCATCCACAGCAATGGTTAGTCTCTGTGCTTACTGCAAACATATTGGGAACTTGAAAAACGACTGATGTCTGGGCCTCACCTTCAGAGGTTCCATATAATTGGTCTGGGGTGTAGCCTGAGCATTGGGTTGTTTTTTGCTATGGCTCTCCAGGTGATTTTTTTTAAAAGACAGAGTCTCACTCTGTTGCCAGGCACCAGGCTGGAGTGCAGTGGTACGATCTTGGCTCACTGCAACTTCCGCCTCCCAGGTTCAAGCAATTCTCCTGCCTCAGCCTCCCAAGTAGCTGGGACTACAGATGCATGCCACCAAACTCAGCTAATTTTTGGTATTTTTTAGTAGAGATGAGGTTTCACCATGTTGGCCAGGATGGTCCCAAAGTGCTGGGATTACAGGTGTGAGCCACCACGCCCAGCCCCTCCAGGTGATTCTAATGCGCACCCAAGACTAAGAATCACTGAATGGGGACAGCTGACCTTGATCCATACCATGCCACAGTGAGTATCAGAACCATCAGCAAATTTTTAAAAATTAAAGGCCCCTGGGTCCACCCCAGATCCCCTGACTGTGACCCTTCAGGATAAGCCCTGAGAGTCTGCCTTTGCAAAGGTTCTGCTGTTTGGTCATCTTTTGGGCCTGTGGAACTGTAGAAGCTACTAGGCTTGCCTCAGGCCCCCAGGTGGGTGAGGATGTCAACTTCAGGCCACAGGACGGGGCCCCCAGAAGTCACTGGTTCCAAACACGTATTCCCCCTCCACCCTGTGAACTGGGAAACTGAGGCATTTGAAGAGGGAGCCTGGCCTGTGGACCCTCACACATGGTACCCATGCCTGTTCTGCAGGCAGGGAGTAGGCACGTGAAGCCTTGTGGAGGGAAAGGAGTGAAAGCACAATTTCTTTTGTATCTCTTCTTCTCTCCCTGGCTGTTTTAGCTGCTCTGTCTCCATCACCTGACGCCCTTCCTCCTGGGCCATCTGTCATTTATCTTGGCCAAAAAGGATGTACTGCAGTACATGGCTTTCAATGGGAGAAGGAATCTGAACCCAAAGGGCTTGTTCAGTTACCAGGACTTCACAGAACAGACAGAAATACTAACTTGGTAGGGGAGGATAGATGAAGTCATCCAAAGGCCCTGCAGACCTACCCCCTTGGGGCCTGGCTCCTGACTGTCCACTGGGGAAGGCCACCCAGAGATCCAGGGTGCCAGGCAGGTGGTCAGTCTGTGTCTGGAATCACAGTGTTCCCGATGCAGTGAGATCCTTCCAGCCCACTCACTGGGAGACCAGGGCCCCAGGCTGGCTCTGACTCATCTTCAGACCCCCCAGAGTGATGGCCTGAGACCTCAGCCTTGTCCTAGAGCCTGGAGGGACTGTGGAGGCGCATCAGAGCCCCACTGTTCACCTGGCCCCTCACAGCCCTCCTGGCCAGTTTTTTGGCCAAGACCCTGGCTTTTCAGTATGAGCTGAAGGTAAGGGTGACTTCAGATCTGCTGTTAGATCTCAGATCAGCCGGTGGTGCTGTCCTAGTAGATTCTCACACAGAAAATGAGATAAAAGGCACTGTGCAACCAAGATGCAGAATCAGGCCAGCCGGCCTCCACTCCAGTGCTGCCACTGACTGGCTGTAGGAACTTCCCTGGCCTCAGTTTCCTCATCTGCAAAGAGGTCATAATGTAATAGCAACCATGCAGAATACCCTAATGGAATACCCTCAGACAGAGAGATCTATGCAAGAAAAATGTTCAGTAAATGTTAGCACCCCTCCCTGCCATTTTAGCCACATGGGGGTCACTATGTTGGCAATTCTCCTCCAGGATAGGGGATGAACTGATGAACCCAGAGTAGAGTAGACGCAGGAGTGGGCAGGCAAGTGACCAGGTATGTTTCCCCAGCCCCACCCTGGCTCCTGTTTGAAAGTCACTTTCCTTCTGCCACTCCCTCTCACAGGAGGAGGCAGCTCCTGACCTCAGGGACCCAACATTCGGTAGTCATCAGCGATTACAGAGGTGTCCAAACCTTCTGATGGTGATGGGGCAGGGACGGGAGAAAAATGACAAGTGCCAACTCCCCTGAGACCAGCTATCCAACCATGAAGAGTCCTGATGTTTACAAAACAACATAACGAGGGATGTTACTTTCAGCTGGGGACATGGGGGGTGTAGACAATGGCGTTCAATGTCACCTCCTGACCTCACAATCCTTCCATGCCTCCTCTTGCCTATTGGGTCATTTATTCAATTCTCAGGCCAGCCTTCAAGACCCCTAAATCTACCCCCAAATTCTCTTTGTCTTATCTCTCACCAGCCTGCCCCATGCACCCTCTCCTCCAACAAGACTGGTCAGATCAGGCCTCCCAAACACTTCCTTCCCACCTCCACTCCTTTATTCATGCTGTCCTTCCCTCCTGGAATATTCCCTTCTCCTTCCTTCAGAGTCAGAGCTTATCTATCCTTGAGGTCCAGCTCAATGTTGGTATCTCCATGAAGCCTTTCTTGATCACTGGAACCTCCTTGTGGTAGATTGAGAATGATCACAAATTTGTTTGCAGCCTCTCCCACTAAGAGATGGAGTCTATTTTCCCCGTTTAAATCTGGAATGGTCAATGACATGCTTTGATCAATAGAATGAGGCAGAAGTGACTATGTACAATGTCAGCCTAGGCCTCAAGAGGCCTTACAGCTTTTACTCTTGGAAGCAAATAGGATGGCTTGCTGGAGATATGTGGCCCAGCTGACAAGTATCACCACCCACTATACAGTGAGGCCATCTTAGATCATTCAGCCCCAAGTGAGTCACCAAGCTGTAGCCACATGAGACTCCAGGTGAGATGAGCAGAAGAACTCCCTAGCTGAGTCCACCTTAAAACTGCCAAGCCAGAGAATCATGAGCAAATAAATGGCTGTCTCAAGCCATCAAGTTTTGGTGTGGTTTGTTACATAGCAATAGATGACAGAAAATTCACACTCACATCACAGGCATCTTGTCACTAGCGCCTCTTTTTAAGCACTTTGGGGGTCCTCACTCCTCTGCAGGTGCCCTTACATTCTTGGCCTGTATTAGGGGTCAAGACCTGCTTCCGAATATAGAGTGGCTCAGATTGCTGTCCTTGGAGTGTCATCATGAGTGTTCACCATTCTTCCAATAGAGTGAACTCTATTAGAAGAATAGAATGTGAGTGAGTAGATCCTGGTGTAGTAGACTGTGATGTTCTAGCCACAGACCCTTTCATTGAAGGACTTATTGTCCCAGAGGCTTGGAGGGCTGGAGACACTCTTCAGTTGTCTGCCCCTTTTCAGGGATTACCTTAACTACAGAGATCCACTTACCTCAAGTCACCCCCTTCCCACATGCAATGACTGATTGAGGCAGGGGTATAAAGGCCTGACCCTCTCAGCCCCACCCAGGACAACCCTGAGGGGCCATAGATGCTCCAGAGCTGTGGGGTTGGCCGATGCTATTGTTGGGCCTATGTCACCGCTCCAAAGGTAAAAACCATGTGTCCAGTCACCTGGCTCCAGCATCACGACCCATCAGCTCTGCCCTACCTCCCGACTCACCTGGCTCAGGCTCTGCCTCCCTGTCTTCTGCAGAGCAATGATGGCCCTTTGCAGGGGATATCCCAGGGCAACCACTGGCCCAATGAGGTCTTGCTCCTCCTGGCTCAGGGCGGACAGCAGGTCAGCAGCACTATCAGGGTGTGATTTGTGGGGGTTGAGAGGCTGGGGTGCCCCCCCAAGAGGTGGCAGACAGGTGTACGGGCTGAGGGACTGAAATACAGACAGGCTGAACATGTCAGTTACCACAGGAAGTGACACCCAGTTAGGCTGGACATTAAAAAAAAATTCCTTTATGTACCACCTTCTTTGTAGGGGCTAATATTATGGAGGGCATAGAGTCCTGCAGACCGAAGCTCTCTAACGCTTACTCGGTTTACTCATGTGAAAAATAAGGGCAATCCCTAAGCTACTTCACAGGACTGTTATGAGGCTTAAATAGGACAATATGAGGGGCTGGGCACAGTGGCTCACACCTGTAATCCCAACACTTTGGGAGGCTGATGCAGGTGGATCACCTGAGGTCAGGGGTTTGAGAGCAGCCCAACGAACATGGTGAAACCCTGCCTCTCTTAACAAATACAAAATTAGCCGGGTGTGGTGGTGTGTGCTTATAATCCCAGCTACTTGGGAGGCTGAGGCAGAAGAATCACTTGAAGCCAGGAGGCAGAGGTTGCAGTTAGCCGAGATCACACCATCGCCCTCCAGCCTGGGCAACCAGTGAAACTGTCTCAAAAAAAAAAAAGACAATGTGAGGAAAGTGACTAGTAAAAGAAATATGAGGTCCATTCTACTGTCTTATTTTGCAGACATTGAAATCAAGGTTCAGAGATGTTAATGACCGGACTGAGCAACACAAGCTTGGTACCTCAACCCTACTCAGGTTTTCTGCCCCATACTTCGGTGAGGGAGGAGAAGCAGTAGGTCTTCCCAACCAGGCCCTCCTTGTTTAGTTTGGCTGGGCTGGGGTTTGGCAGGGCATGGAGCAGGGTAGGAACTGGGGGCACCAGCCCTTCAGTTATTATGCTGGAGAAACCAAAACAGACCCTGGATTAAGGAGAGTGACTTGAAGGCATTCCAATTGGTTTGGCTGTCATCACCACAGCCCTTCTCCCATGAGGAAGTGCCTCTCTGCCAGCCCTGAATGTTTCATCCTGTCCCCTTCTCCTAGGGAAAACCCAGCCACCGCCTGGCTCCTGGGATGGAGTGTATATGTCACGCACACGAATTCCCCACCCATCTGCGTCTTCTTTTTTTTTTTTGAGACAGAGTTTCGCTCTTGTTACCCAGGCTGGAGTGCCATGGCGCGATCTCGGCTCACCGCAACCTCCGCCTCCTGGGTTCAGGTAATTCTCCTGCCTCAGCCTCCTGAGAAGCTGGGATTACAGGCACATGCCACCATGCCCAGCTAATGTTTTTGTATTTTTAGTAGAGACGGGGTTTCACCATGTTGACCAGGATGGTCTCGATCTCTTGACCTCGTGATCCGCCTGCCTCGGCCTCCCAAAGTGCTGGGATTACAGGCTTGAGCCACCGCGCCCGGCCCCATCTGCGTCTTCTTAGTGCTCTCCCCAGCACGACCTCACCCTAGGGTCTGCCCTTTATTACCTCCAGGGTGGAGAACTTTAAAGTTTAGGAGCCAAGTCTACTCTTATGTCCTTGAAAAAGATTTTTCACCACTCTCTGCTTCATTTCCATCATCTACAGGATACTGTCCCATCCCCACAGGGTTGTTGGGAGAGTTCAGTTAATCTTGACCAGGGAAGAGCCATCCTGGCATCAACATCTGGTCTTGGATGTGGGCATGGCTTATCCCACTTACAGAGCCTCTTCTCTACTATGTATACTCTAGACCAGGCATCCCCAAACTTTTTACACAGGGGCCAGTTCACTGTCCCTCAGACCACTGGAGGGCCGCCACATACTGTGCTCCTCTCACTGACCACCAACGAAAGAGGTGCCCCTTCCTGAAGTGCGGCAGGGGGCCGGATAAATGGCCTCAGGGGGCCGCATGTGGCCCGCGGGCTGTAATTTGGGGACCCCTGCTCTAGACAACTGCGTGAAGGGTTGCTGGCTCACTGTGCAGGTAGAGAAGTGGTCGTTCCATGACTTGCCTAAGGTCACACACTGGTGCATGTAAGAAACCAGACCTCAGGGCTGGGTGTGGTGGTTCACGCCTGTAATTCCAGCACTTTGGGAGGCCAAGGTGGGCGGGATCACGAGGTCAGGTGTTCGAGACCAGCGTGACCCACATGATGAAACCCCATCGCTACTAAAAATACAAAAATTAGCCAGGCATGGTGGTACACACCTGTAATCTCAGCTACTCAGGAGGCTGAGGCAGGAGAATCACTTGAGCCAGGAGGTGGAGGTTGTGGTGAGCTGAGATTGTACCACTGCACTCCAGCCTGAGCGACAGAGCGAGACTCTGTCTCAAAAAACAAAACAAAAAAAACCAGACATCAGGTCTCTGTCTTTCGGATTAAATTCTACCTTGGCCTTATTCTGCAGCATCTCCTGGGCTGAGTGTGGAGCTGCCTGGGGACAGAAAGCTGTGCCCCACTACCACCTTCTGCTGCCAGTCCTGACCCATGTTTTGTGGAGTCTGACACTTAAACAATTTGGAAGGGGCCTTTAAGCTTCTGTGGTTCCACTGCAGGGTCACTTGTCCCTGCTCTTCAGGGCTCACTTCCTCCATCCTGAAGCCTTTCCAGCAGGCAGCAGCCCTGACTCTCCCTCAACACCTGATCCTGCCGTACAGTGCAGGGCCTGGTCCCCCACCCTCTTGGCTAACTCTCCATGTCCTGTGGTTTTGACACTCCCAACCCAGTGTATGGCAGGAAGTAACTATCCATTGAATATTCCAGCTCCCCAGCCTACAGCAAACACCACCCAGTGGGAAGCCCTTGATTTGCACTGCGTTCATTAATTCAGCAGACATCCACCGAGCGCCCTCTATGGGTCAAGTCGGCAGCGGGGTGCTCTGGAAACAAACATCAATGCGCCCCGCCCTGAAGAGCTCATCCTCTGTTGGAAGAGACAGGTCCAGGATAATTAAAACCACTGTGACCTGCGCCCTAAAAAAAGGCAAGGCAGGCATAGTGGGAAACGAGGGGTATGGCAGAGACTACTCTACTCTAGGGCCGCAGGAGGACAACACGGTACAGGCCCAGGTGGGAGCAGGTCAAGGGAGGACGCAGAAGCGCGCGGAGGAGGGGATCGAGGCTGTGGGCGGGGCTGGACACCCAGATCGAGGGGACTGGGCTGCTGAGCGGCGGCGGCCTTGGAGGGATGGGCAGAGTTCTTACCGCGACCGTGGGCTTGTGGCTCCGCAGCGGGGGGATGGCGCCGGCCGTGGAGGGCCGCGGGGGCGACGCGGGGGCAGCGGAGGGTTGGGCCGCGGGCCCCGGGGGTGACGCGGGTCTGGATGACAGGCTCAGCGCGCGGTGGCCGCGGAGGCCGTGCAGGAGGGCTCGGGGCCGGGCGGCCAGCTTCCCCTCGGAGAGCCGTCGCCGCGCCCCTGCCAGCTCCGACCGCACGCCGCGCAGCAGGTCCAGCGAGCACAGGCGACGACCCGGGACGGGGCTTGCCGGGAGGCTGCGGGGGCCCGGGTGTCCCTCGCTGCCAGAGGAGGCTTCTTCCTCATCCTCACCCTCCTGCTTCGGTCTCTCCTGGGGTCCGGCCTCCGGGTCTCTGATGGCTGCAGGCACAGGCGCCAGCACGTGTTCGGGGCTGACCAGCAAGAGCCAGGCTGGAGGGGCTGACGCTGTCCCCGGGTCACCGCACTGGTACGGGCTGGGTCCCCGGCTGGCGGCCTCCACCCAGAAGAGTGCCCTCCTCTCCAGGCTGAAGTCGTGCTGCAGAAAGAAGGCGCTGTAAAGCCGCGGGCAAACCAGGTTCCTGGAGACATAACCCTAATCCCTATCCTGGGGGACCCCGTTCAGCCAGAGACGCTCTAGGCCTGGACAGCCTCAGATTCTAAGCCCTGGGCTTCCATCACAGCCCATCCTACTCTCGGTTTTAGCTAGCACTGTGGTCGATGGATACCAATAACACTTTAATGGCAAACTGGCATAAATGACAAAGTGATGAATTCGTTAATAGAATGAAATGTAATGAAACCCAACATCTAAATCCCTTTGCCATTCAGTATGTACTTGAGCAATAACTACTTAAACATTTTCTCCATGAAACATATTCTTAGCAAAGAAGCTCTCACCTGAGCCCAGCACAGTTTGCCACTGAGGAGTCTGCCTTGGAGGCCTGCCTAGGCAGACAAACCTCCCTGTGGAGTGATACCTGTCCCCAGCCACTTTGCTGCTATCAAGGTTACTTTGGGGTCCTGGAAATGTCATAACCGCTAATCTTTGTGGAACTCTACTTAGTATGGTCTAGTGTCATTCCTATTTCCAGATTATGAACATGCAGCTCAGAACACTGAATGTGCTAGAAGTTGGATTGGCAGTGAGTGGCTGAGCTGGTTTTCCTGGTGGACCTGATTGTAGTGCTGCATATTAGACTACCAAAAAAAACCATCTGCAGTCCACATAAATAATCTAGAGTTTATTAAAATGAGGCAAAATGAAATATTCCTGTTCCCTACCTTTAAACTTAAGAACAGAAAGCATAAGACTCCATCAAAAATATACAAGAGTTTTAAAGGCAATTTGCTCTACCATGGCCAGTTAAGGAAAAAAGAGGCTAGGGGTCAGGGAGCGAGGCAGAAAGATAGGCACAGACGCTCAGACACTTAGATCACAGATGCGGCTCCCTCTCACCCATGACAGTACCTTGGGAAGAGGAGCATAAGTTAGCTGCTCCAGTGTGACTCCCTGACTGAGCCCAGGGACTGTGTCTTGTTCCTCTCTGTATCTTCAGGGCATGGGGCAGGCCTGCCCCAGAGTGGACATTTGTAAGTATGTGCAGAATAAATTGTTAGAGAAAGAGATTGGAGCAAAATAGGTGGGTTGTGAAGGACAGAGAAGGGAAAAAGACTTCAGAACTGATGAGGCATACTTGGAGAGAAAGAAGCTAAGAAATAGCCAGCAGCCCTCAGAGGGATAAAAAAAAAAAAAAAAAAAAAATACCAAGACCCAATAAAATGCCAACGCTTGATTTTGGAACTATGCCAGATGATTCTAAAGTTCACATAAAATCAATCAATCAGTCAATCAATGCCTGGCACTGTAGCTCATGCCTGTAATCCCAGCACTTTGGGAGGCCAAGGCAGGTAGATCACCTGAGGTCAGGAGTTCGAGCCTAGCCTGGCCAACATCGCGAAACTCCATCTCTATTAAAAATACAAAAATTAGCCAGGCATGGTGGTGTGTGACTGTAATCCCAGCTACTCGGGAGGCTGAGAACTGCTTGAACCCGGGAGGTGGAGGTTGTAGTGAGCCAAGATCACACCACGGCACTCCAGCCTGGGTGACAGAGTGAGACTTTGTCTCAAAAAAAAAAAAAAAAAAAAAAAAAAAAAAAAGAAAGCGAGAAAGAGGGAAGGAAGGAACAAACAAACTCTGGAGACAAAAACATAAATAAGGAGAACTGGCCCTATCATTTTTTAAAATATAAAAGCTCAATAACTAAAACTATGGTACTGACACAGACAGATTAAAGGTACATAATAGAAAGTCCAGAAATAGACCTTAATATATTATAAAGATTTAGTAACTAATAAAGGTGGCATCTCAAGCAATAGGAAAATGATAAAGTTCTGGACAATAGATGGTGTTAGGCTGGGCACAGTGGCTTGTCTGTAATCCCGACACTAGGAGTCCGAGGTGGGAGGTTTGCTTGAGCCCAGGAATTCAAGTCCAGCCTGCGCAACATAGCAAGACTTTGTCTCTACAAAAATTTGAAAATGGCCAGGCGTGGTGGCTCACACCTGTAATCCCACTTTAGGAGGCTGAGGGCAGGTGGATCACAAGGTCAGGAGATCGAGACCATCCTAGCCAACATGGTGAAACCCTGTCTCTACTAAAAATACAAAAAATTAGCTGGGTGTGGTGGTGCATGCCTGTAATCCCAGCTACTAAGGAGGCTGAGGCAGGATAATCCCTTCAACTCGGGAGGTGGAGGTTGCAGTGAGCCGAGATCATGCCACTGCACTCTAGCCTGGCAACAGAGCAAGACTCCGCAAAAAAAAAAAAAAATTTTGAAAATTAGTCAGGCATGGTGGCACGTGCCTGTAGTCTCAGCGGCTTGGGATGCTGAGGCAGGAGGGTTCCTTGAGTCCAGGACGTTAAGGCTGCAGTGAGCCATGTTCATGCCACTGCACTCCAGCCTGGGCGACAGTGAGGCCCTGTCTCAAAACATAAAACTAAGCGGAGCACAATGGCTCATGCTTATAATTGCAGCACTTAGGGTGGCCAAGGTGGGAGGATCACTTGAGCTCAGGATTTTGAGACCAGCCTGGGCAACATGGTACGAAACCTCATCTCTACAAAGAAATACAAAAAATTAGCCAGGCATGGTGGCATGTACCTATAGTCCTAGCTACTTGGGAGGAGGCTGAGATGGGAGGATCACTTGAACCCTAGAAGAGGAAGTTGCATTGAGCTGAGATTGTGCCACAGTACTCTATCCAGCCTGGGCAACAGAGCAAGACTCTGTCTGAAAAAAAACAAAAACAAAAACAGCTCTTCCCCTAAAAAGCCTGAGGTAATCGGTGAAAATGGTTCACTATTCATTTGACCTGGAGAACGCCACAAAATCATGCAAATCAAGCGGTTCAAATCTTCATGTTCACTTTAAGAACACTCGTGAAACTGCCCAGGCCATCAAGTGTTTGCATATATGAAAAGCCACAAAGTATCTGAAAGATGTCACTTTACAGAAACAGTGTGTACCATTCTGACATTTCAGTGGTGAAGTTGGTAGGTGTGCCCAGGCCAACAATGGGCTGGACACAAAGTCAGTGACCCAAAAAGAGTGCTGAATTTTAGCTGCACATGCTTAAAAATGCAGAGTTCTGCTGAACTTAAAGGTTTAGAGGTAGATTCTCCGGTCAATGAGAATACCCAAGTGAACAAAGGACCGAAAATGCACCACCAGACCTACAGAGCTCATACGGGAGTTCTCCCTGCCACTTCGAGATGATCCTTATTGGAAAGGAACAGACTGTCCCTAAACCAGAAGAGGAGGTTGGCCCAGAAGAAAAAGATATCCCAGAAGAAACTGAAGAAACAAAAACTTACAGAGCAAGAGTAAATTTAGCATTAAAATATATGCAATTAAAAGTCAAAAACAGAAACAAACAGTGTTAGCTGGGCACAGTGGGCTCATGCCTGTAATCCAGCTAGGAAGACTGAAGCGTGAAGACTGCTTGAGAAGCAGGAGTTTGAGACCACCCTGGGCAATATAGTGAAAGCCCATGTCTAAAAAATAGAATAAATAATGTTAGCTAACTAGAAAAAAAGTTGGACCCATTCCCACTCTGTACACACAAAAGGATGAATTCCAAAAGGACCAAAAATTCAAATGTATGATATGAAACCATAAAAGTACCAGGAGAAATAGGAGAAATCCTATTTATAATCTCAGATGGACAAAGCCTTTCTTGCTTTGGATCAAAATCCAGAGCCATAAAAGAAAAGATAAGGCCAGGCACAGTGGCTCACGCCTGTAATCCCAGCACATTGGGAGGCCAAGGCAGGTGGATCATGAGGTCAGGAGTTCAAGACCAGCCTGACCAGTATGGTTAAACCCCATCTCTACTAAAAATACAAAAAGTAGCCAGGCGTGGTGGTGCGAACCTGTACTCCCAGCTACTCAGGAGGCTGAGGCAGGAGAATCACTTGAACCTGGGAGGCGAAGGTTGCAGTGAGCTGAGATCATGCCACTGCACTCCAGACTGGGTGACAGAGTGAGACCTCATCTCAAAAAAAAAAAAAAAAAAAGAGAGAGAAAAAGAAAAGAGAAGCCAGCACAATGGCTCATATGTGTAATCCTAGTACTTTGAGAGGCAGAGGTGGGAGGATTGCTTGAGGAGCCCAGGAGTTCAAGACCAGCCCAGACAACAGAGTGGGACCCTGGTCTCTACAAAAAGAAACATAATTAGCCAGGTGTGGTGGCTCACGCCTGTAACCCCAGCACTTTGGGAGGCTGAGGTGGGCTGATCACCTGAGGTGAGGAGTTGGAGACCAACCTGACCAACATGGAGAAACCCTGTCTCTACTAAAAATATAACATTAGCCAGGCATGGTGCATGCCTGTAATCCCAGCTACTCGGGAGCCTGAAGCAGGAAAATCGCTTGAACCTGGGAGTCAGAGGTTGCGGTAAGCCAAGATGGCACCACTGCACTCGAGCCTGGGCAACAAGAGCAAAACTCCATCTCAAGAAAGAAAGAAAAAGAGAAAGAGAGAGAGAGAGAGAAAGAAAGAAAGAAAATAAGTTGGGTGTTGTGACATGCACCTGTAGTCCCAGCTACTTGGGAGGCTGAGGTGGGAGGGTCACTTGAGCCCAGGAAGTTGAGGCTGCAGTGAGCCATGATTGTGCTACTGCACTCGAGCCTGGGTGACAAGAGTGAGACCCTGTCTCAAAAAAGAAAAAAGAAGGGAAGAGATAATTCTACTACTACTACTACTACTACTACTACTACTACTACTACTACTCACACACACACATACACACACTCACACACTCTGCATGGCAAATATACCCCATAAGTAAGGTCAAAAGACACACTGGCAGGAAAATAACACATACCACAGACAAAGGGCTAACTTCACTAATATAGAGAGTGCTGAGGAATAGATAGGAAAAACACCAACAGCCCAACAGAAAAATGGGCAAAAGATAAGGCATTCCACAGAAAAGAAAACACAAATGTCTCCTAAACCTATGCAAAGCTGCTGAACCTCACACATCATAGAGAAAAGCAAATTAAAGCTACAGTGAGATAGCATTTGTCTATTCCTGGGCAGACTCAGTCTGATGATGGTTTTGGGCAGCCTGAGAGGAAAGGCACTCTGTCATGCTGGCTGGGATGTAAGTATCCCCCATGGAGGGCAATTTCCCATATACTCCAGGACGTTTGCATATAGTTGTTGGTTCCCTGCAGCATTATTTGTAATGGCAAAAGAATAGAAACAACCTAATTGTCCATCTAGTGAGGACTAGTTCAATAAAGTGTTATAAATCCATATAATGCAGTACCATGTGTAAAAAAAAAAGGAAGAAATTATTACATTTGCTTATATATACACATGTAAGAATCTCTAGAAGAATGCATTAAAAATGAATTAAAAAGAGGCTGGGCACGGTGGCTCCCACCTGCAATCTAGCACTTTGGGAGGCCAAGGTGGGAGCAATCACCTGAGGTCAGGAGTTCGAGACCAGCCTAGCCAACATGGTGAAACCCAGTATCTACCAAAAACACAAAAATTAGCTAGGCGTGGTGGCACATGCCTATAATCCCAACTACTCAAGAGGCTGAGGCAGGAGAATCACTTGAACTTGGGAGGCAGAGGTTGCAGTGAGCTGAGATCATGCCACTACACTCCAGCCTGGGTGACAGAGCAAGACCTCATCTCAAAATAAAAAACAAAAAGAGAATAAAAGAGGTCACCAGTGAGAGAGTGAAGGTGGGGAACAGGGAGGATGGGAAGGTGTTGGGGGAAGCTTTTCACTCTACCAAGCATAGACAAACTGCCTATGGGCCAAACTAACCCCCTAGTGTGTTTTTGTAAATAAAGTTTTATTGGAACACAGCCATAGCCACCCACTGTGGCCATATTATCTATGTCTAGCCCCACGACTAGCAGAGTTAAGTCATCACCACAGACTTTTTACTGTTTCATCCTTTACTAAAAATGTTTGACAACTGCTCTATACCATTTCAATTTTTTTTTTTTTTTAAAGACAGACTTACACTCGGGCACCCAGGCTGGAGTGCAATGGTGTAATCTCAGCTTACTGTAACTTCTGCCTCCTGGGTGCAAGCAATTCTCCTGTCTTAGCCTCTCAAGTAGCAGGGATTACAGGCACCCACTACCACACCTAGCTAATTTTTTGTATTTTTAGTAGAAACAGAGTTTTACATGATGGCCAGGCTGATCTCAAACTCCTGGCCTCAAGTCATCTGTCCACTTCGGCCTTCCAAAGTGCTGGGATTACAGGTGTGAGCCACCATGCCTGGCCTTTTATCATTTTAAAACCATATGAATATATTTTCTCTCTAAAAATTAAATTTAGAAAAGGAAATTAATTAAAGGGAAACTTAAACAACAAACCAGACTTGTTGAGCCTTTCACTATGGGAGGAAGGACTCTCAGAAAAGGCAAAAGGGTGGAGGAGACGGACATGGGCTTTGGGGTTTGACAGACTTGTTTTGGAATCCTGGCTGTGTCACTCATAAGCCATGTGACCCTGTAGGTCACTTGAGTGGGAGCTTTTTATGTCCTGTGCCATGGTGTAGAAATACTCGCCTTCTAAAAACATTCTCATAAACAGAGCAAATGGGCCAGGTGTGGTGGCTTACGCCTGTAATCCCAGTACTTTGGGAGGCTGCAGTGGGTGGATCACCTGGGGTTGGAAGTTCAAGACTAGCCTGACCAACATGGAGAAACCCCATCTCTACTGAAGATACAAAAATTATCCAGGCATGCTGGCACATGCCTGTAATCCCAGCTACTTGGTAGACTGAGGCAGGAGAATCGCTTGAACCCAGAAGGTAGAGGTTGCAGTGAGCCAAGATCACACCACTGCACTCCAGTCCGGGCAACAAGAGTGAAACTCCATCTCAAAAAAAAAAAAAAAAAAAAAAAAAAGAGCAAACGTATAAAGAACACCTAACCTAGCACAGACCTGGTGTATAGTAGGTGCTCCATACCTGGTAACAGTTTTCCCCCACTTTAGGCCACTGTACATTCATCTGGTAGCCTAATTACCATCTAACATTGTTGCTATGGATAATGTATTTCAAGTTCCAAACACTGGGAATACATCCTGGTGAATTCAAGAGAGCTTACCAGGAGGGCTGTAAATCACACTTAAGAGTTCCAGGCTTTTCTGTTTGTTAGTTTGGTCCAGCAGTAAAAGAAATGGAGGCTCAGGAGGGGAAACAGACTCAAGAAAGTAGTTTTCCACCCTAAGAGTAGGGGGCAGAGCCAGGGTCAACACACAGTCATGGCCTTGGCAGGAGGGTGCCCATTTCTGCTTCCAGGAGAGGCAACCTTCAGAATATCCTCTTCTCAGCACGGATTGAGCTCAGCAGAGAGGGAAAAGCTGTGATAATACACCTCCATGCAGGCTTAGTAAAGCAAGTTCCTCTTCTCAGCAACGGAGGCCCTATGCCAGAGCGAGAGCCCATAGCCAGGGGAGAGCAGGAGCTCTTGCCCTACAGAGCACCGGCCCCTAGACACTGTGCTCTGGGCTTTACAAAGCTTATTTTGATTACGGAAACCCTGGACCTGAGGAGCCTCCATGCAACTTCAGGGGCTACAGATGAAGTAAACTGCACTAGGTCTCCTGCAACCCCCAGGCCAGGCAGGCTCCTCTACCTGACCCTCCCCAGCTCTCTCCTTCCTGGACTGTGCTCTCTGCTTCTGACTTCCTGCAACCTCCCCTCACCATTTCTGTTCTTTTTTTTTTTTTTTTCAGACAGAGCCTCACTCTGTTGCCCATGCTGGTGTGCAGTGGCATGATCTCGGTTCACTGCAACCTCTGCCTCCTGGGTTCAAGTGATTCTCCTGTCTCAGCCTCCCAAGTAGCTGGGATTAGAGGCGCACATCACAATGTCCAGCTAAGTTTTTTATTTTTACTAGAGATGGGGCTTCACCATGTTGGCCAGGATGGTTTTGACCTATTGACTTCATGATCTACCCACCTCGGCCTCCCAAAGTGCTGGAAATACAGGTGTGAGCCTCGGCGCCCAGCCAACTTTTTTTGCCTTTAAACCTTACTGCCCTGTGTCTCTCGTGATCCAAGTCCTACTGTTAGCTAATATGAAATGACATGGAGGCTGGGTGCAGTGGCTCATGCCTGTAATCCCAGCAATTTGGGAGGCCGAGGCTGGCAAATCACTAGAGGTCAGGAGTTTGAGACTAGCCTGGTCAACATGGTAAAACCCCATCTCTACTAAAAATACAAAAATTTGCCAGGCGTGGTGGCAGGTGCCTGTAATCCCAGCTACTTGGGAGGCTGAAGCAGGAGAATTGCTTGAACCCAGGAGATGGAGGTTGCGATGAGCCGGGATCGTGCCACTGCACTCCAGCCTGGGTGACAGAGTGAGACTCTATCTCAAAAAAAAAGAAATGACATGGAGTCAGGAACTGGGTTATAGTCTTGTCACTGCCACTAACTTTGGAAAAATCATTTCCCTTCTCTGGGCCTCCTCATGTGCAAAATGAGTGAAAGCTGAGCCAGATCCTCAGGCTGTTCTACAAAGCACCCTGCAGACAGTAGAAAGTGGGCACACAAGAGCCTGGAGCCCCAGCCCCACAGGGCCTGACACTAGTTCTGCAGTGATCTGCAATCTTGTTCTTTTATTGGTGTAAATTCATGTGAATTTTGCATTCTGCTCTGTGATATGTCTGTGTTATAATATAAATGCAATAGGTTTCCCCTAAATCTTCAAGTAAACTTGACTCTCCAGGAAGTTAAATCACTTGTATCCTGAGGTCACTTGCTATACAGCCACTATCCTGGGAATGTGCATGTCCCAGTGTGTGAGCCCCATGGGCCATGGATGCTTCCAGGACACCTCCAGGGCAGATGGGCTGTGGGTCTGCGGAATAGTAATCCCTTCTAATGTGTCCCATCTAACTGGCTTCAGACTCTTGCTCTGTCACCAGCCTGGAATACAGTGGTGCGATCTCAGCTCACTGCAACCTCCGCCTCACGGGTTCAAGCGATTCCCCTGCCTCAGAGTCTGGAGTAACTGAGACTACAGGCATGTGCCACTACGCCCAGCTAATTTTTTGTATTTCAGTTGAGATGGGGTTTCCCCATGTTGGCCAGGATGGTCTCGATCTCTTGACATCATGATCTGCCTGCCTGGGCCTCCCAAAGTGTTGGCTGTCTGCATTTTTAACAGAGGATTCGGGTGATGGCCCAAAGGAGTGATTCTAATGGTGGAGTTTTAGACATGGCAGCAGGCTGATGGAGAAGAGAGGAATTAGAGCATCCTCGCATTGACTCTCAGGCACTTCACACAGGCAGCCTCCCAGTTATCCTAAACTTAAAACAAGACCCACTAGACAGTCCTCATCCCCCAGCCACCAGCATTCTTCATGAAACACTTTTTCCTCCCTTGGTTTGTTTTCAAATGCACTAGACCATACAAAAACAGGGCTAGCTGTCCTTTAAAATCAAGGAACACTGGACAGGTACGGTGGCTCACACCTGTAATCCCAGCACTTTGGGACACCGAGGCAGCGGATTGCCTGAGCTCAGGAGTTCACGACCAGCCTGGACAACACAGTGAAACCCTGTTTCTACTAAAATACAAAAACAATTAGCCAGTCATAGCGGTGTGTGCCTGTAGTCCCAGCTTCTTGGGAGGTTGAGGCAGGAGAATTGCTTAAACCCAGAAGGCAGAGGTTGTAGTGAGCTAAGATCATGCCACCACAGTCCAGCCTGGGCAACAGAGCAAGACTCTGTCTCAAATAAATAAATATAATAAAATCAAGGAACAAGGCCCCCTGGACTCAGCCTCAGACCCACAGACCCAGGAGACAGAAACACAGAGACACACTTACCATAGAACCCAGCAGAAGCTCCCTGCAGGCTGGGACGCTGAGTTCTGGAGCAGGGAGAGGCTCTGTACCTATCACAAAGTCCTTGGGCAACTTGAAGAGAACACCATCGAGGGCATTCATTCTGTCAGAGGAGTGTGGAGATGCCTGGCAGGATTGGGGCAGCTGCTTGATGGCAAGGAGAGAGAGTCAAGTCCTGATGACCAGGCTCAGGCCTCAAATGGCCTCACTGCTCTCCTGTGTGGTCACTTAGCTGAGCCCCAAAAAGCTGGAAAGGAAAAGGTGACGGGGCCAGTGCTGCATAAAGGAAGGAAATGAATAAAAACAAGAGCATTCACACAGGAATTCACTATTTCATATTTAAATCATGCTCTAGACCACTGTTTTCCAAAAGATGATCCCCAATACTAGTTCTAATGCATTTCATCGAAAGAATTGTCACCCAAATGTTTAAGGAACAAACAATATTAATTTACATAAACTCTTCCAGGGAAGAAGAAAATAAGGAATACTTTCTAACTCATTTTGATTTTAGCGTAACCTTTTTTTTTTTTTTCTTTTTCTGTGATGGAATCTTGCTCTGTCACCCAGGTTGGAGTGCAGTGGCACGATTTTGGCTCACTGCAATCTCTGCCTCCTGGGTTCCAGTGAGTCCCCTGCCTCAGCCTCCAGAGTAGCTGGAATTACAGTCTTGCGCTACCACACCCCGCTAATTTTTGTATTTTTAGAAGAGACGAGGTTTCACCATGCTGGCCAGGTTGGTCTCAAACTACCAATCTCAGGTGATCTGCCCACCTCAGCCTCCCAAAGGGCTGGAATTACAGGCGTGAGCCACTGCACCTGGCCAATTTTACCATAACCATGATACTAAACTTGACCAGAAAATTAGAAGCCAATCTCTCATGAACACAGATGCAAAAAATCTTAAAAATAATCATGGGTAGAATAATATAACACTGCCAAGTTTATTTCAGGAAAGACATATTGACTTAACATTCCCACATCAATCAATGGGAATAAAGATAAATATCAATAAAGATCAAAAATTATACAATTATATAGCTCCACAGATGCAGACAAAAACATGATAAAATCAATACCCATACCCTTTCAGCAACTTAGGAAGAGAAGGGAATTTTCTTAACTAATAAAGAGTATCTCTAAAACATCACACAGTGGCCGAGATTGTGTCACTGCACTCGAGCCTGGGCAATGGAGTGAGATGCTGTCTCAAAAAAAAAAAAAAAAAAAAAAAAAAATCAGTTACATCTCTCTCTATATATATAGTAAATCATATAAATGGAATTTTAAAAATTTTATTAGAAATGGAAATTTTAGGCCATGTGCAATGGCTCAAGCCTGTAATCCCAATGCTTTGGGAGGCTGAGGCAGGTGGATCACCTGAGGTCAGGAGTTGGAGACCAGCCTGGCCAATATGATGAAACTACATCTTTACTAAAAATACGAAAATTAGCCAGGTGTTGTGGTGAGTGCTGGCAATCCCAGCTACTTGGGAAGCTGAGGCAGAAGAATCATTTGAACCCCAGAGGCAGAGGTTGCAGTGAGCCAAGATCACGCCATTGTACTCCAGCCTGGGCAACAAGAGCAAAATTCCATCTCAGAAAAAAAAAAAAAGGAAAATTTAAAAAGTCATCATTTATATTAGCATCAGTTCCCTAAGACTAAATCTAACACAAGATGTAGGAGACCTCTGTACAGAAAACTATAAAACATTTGGTTAAATGGAGGAACATACCATGTTCAAGGATTGTAAAACTGAATCTTGTAAAGATAGCAATTCTCCTCCAATTGATTTATTCATCCCATGTATCAAAATTTCATTTTTTTGGGTATAAATTGATAAGCTAATTCTAAAATTAAATGAAATGCAAAGGACCAGGAAAAGCCAAGACATTCTTGGAGAAGCAACACAGTGGAAGACTTTTAGTGTCAGATAGCAAGACCTTAAAGTTATGGGAATTAAGACAGTGACTTACAGGCTTACGAAGAGACCAACAGGACAAAAAAAGAAAAGATCCACACATGAATCTTTGATTTATGACAAAATTGGCTCTGTAGAGCAGTTGGAAAGGGAAAGTCTTTTAAACAAATGGTTCTGGATCAATTGGATACCCATCTGGGGGAAAAAAAAATATTGACCTCTACCTCATGTCATACCTAAAACTCAATTCCAGGTAGACTGTAGATTTAAATGTAAAATGTAAAATAATAAAGCTCAAAGATAAAATGAGAGACTATATTCATGGCCTTGCAAGAGTCAAACATTTCTTAAGTTACAAAAGGGCTAACGGGCCAGGTAGGTTGGCTCATGCCTACAATCCCAGGCAGGAGGATCAGCTGAGGCTAGGAGATTGAGAGCAGCCTGGGCAACAAAAACAGACCCCCATCTCTATAAAAAATACAAAAGTAGCCAGGTATGGTGGCACATACCTGTAGTCCCAGCTACTCAGGATGCTGAAGTAGGAGGATTGCTTAATTCTGGGAGGATGAGGCTGCAGTGAGATGAGTGAGCTGTGAGTCCAGGCTGCACTCCAGCCTGGGCAACAAAATGAGACCCTGTCTCAAAAATAGATAAATAAATAAAAATAAAACAACAACAACAACAACAAAAGCTCCAAAAGAGACTAACCATTAAGGAAAATTCTGATACACTGGATTACATTAAAGTTAAGAACTTCTGCCAGGTGCAGTGGCTCACACGCCTGTAATTTCAGTACTTTGGGAGGCCAAGGCAGGTGGATCACTTGAGGTCAGGAGTTCGAGACCAGCTTGGCCAACATGGTGAAACCCTGTCTCTACTTAAAATACAAAAATTAGCCAGGCATGGTGGCACATGTCTGTAATTCCAGCTACTAGGGAGGCTGAAGCAAGAGAATCGCTTGAACCCGGGAGGCGGAGTTTGCAGTGAGTCAAGATCATGCCACTGCATTCCAACCCAAGCGACAGACTGAAACTCTGCCTCAAAAAAAAAAAAAAAAAATTAAGAACTTCCATTCATGAGAATACACCATTAAGAGAGTTAAAACAAAAACAAATCAGAGTGGGAGAAGATATTTGCAACACATCTATCTGACAAAGGACTCATATACAATATATACAAAGAACTTCTATAAACAATAAGAAATGGGCAAGAGATTTTAATAGGCACTTTACAAAAGAAAATATCCAAATAGCCAATATGATAAGTTGTTTAACTTCATTAGTCATCAGGGGAATACAAAATAAAATAATGAGATACTACTAGACAAACATACAACCATGAATTTTTTTTTTTTTTTTTTTGAGACGGAGTTTCGCTCTTGTTGCCCAGGCTGGAGTGCAATGGCGCGATCTCGGCTCACCGCAACCTCCCCCTCCTGAGTTCAGGCAATTCTCCTGCCTCAGCCTCCTGAGTAGCTGGGATTACAGGCACACGCCACCATGCCCAGCTAATTTTTAGTATTTTTAGTAGAGACAGGGTTTCACCATGTTGACCAGGATGGTCTCGATCTCTTGACCTCGTGATCCACCTGCCTCAGCCTCCCAAAGTGCTTGGATTACAGGCTTGAGCCACCGTGCCCGGCACAACCATGAATTTAAGGTTAAAATTAAAAAGCTTGACAAGCCGGGCGCGGTGGCTCAAGCCTGTAATCCAAGCACTTTGGGAGGCCGAGGCGGGTGGATCACGAGGTCGAGAGATCGAGACCATCCTGGTCAACATGGTGAAACCCCGTCTCTACTAAAAGTGCAAAAAATTAGCTGGGCATGGTGGCACGTGCCTGTAATCCCAGCTACTGAGGAGGCTGAGGCAGGAGAATTGCCTGAGCCCAGGAGGCGGAGGTTGCGGTGAGCCGAGATCGCGCCATTGCACTCCAGCCTGGGTAACAAGGGCGAAACTCCGTCTCAAAAAAAAAAAAAAAAAAAAAAATTGACAATACCAAGTGCTAATGAGGATGTGGAACATCTGTTAACCCTCATTCACTGTTGGTCAGAAAGTCACTTAGTATTACTTAACAGTGTCTACTACACCTGAAAGCCAAGAATTAAGAACTCATTCACACATCACTTCTTGGCCTTTTGACTAAGATCAAGTGTAGTATCTGTCCTTCATTTAGCAATACTCACAACAGCCAGGAATCTGATTTTTGATGTATTTTAAACTACATTAAATATTGAGTCTGTTGCCTTTAAAAAAGAACAAACTTGGCTGAGTGTGGTGGCTCATGCCTGTAATACCAGCACTGTGGGAGGCCGAGGCAGATGGATCACCTGAGGTGAGGAGTTCAGGACCAGCCTGGCCAACATGGCAAAACCCTGTCTCTACTAAAAATACACAAATTAGCTAGGCATGGTGGCACATGCACGTTAAGTCCAGCTACTTGGGAGGCTGAGACAGAATTGCTTGAACCTGGGAGATGGAGGTTGTGGTGAGCCGGGACCATACCACTGCACTCCAGCCTGGGCAAGCAACAGAGTGAGACTCCATCTCAAAAAAAAAAAAAAAAAAAAAAAAAAAAAAAAAAAAAAGAACAAATTCATTCACACAGAATTTAAGTTTGTGACTGCCTATAATATATACTTGAATCTAGACTCTGACCACAGTCTGGCATTTTGCAAACAATCAGGGATTACCAGGGAGTCTGCAACAGGGAGTGCCTCTGGCTCAATACAATCTGTCATCCCTGGCAGGATGACGCAAAGCTCTGCCCTGCTAGGGGTCACTACAGTCATCCCCTTCCCATGAGAGCATCATGTGAAGAGGTAGGGTGGGTAATCTGAGTGCAGAAAGGTCAAATGAAGGCAGCTGGACAAATCCGTTAATTCCCTCATCTCCTGCCCCATCTGTCAACTCTTGTCAGTGTCTTGCCATCTATAAGACTCAAAAGGTTCTCCACTCCATTCCTGGAGCTGGTCTCCCTGCAGAGGCGGCTCTCTATGCTGCCTTTGTGATACAGGATCAGGCAGGTCCTACTGTAACCAGTAAATTATCTGCCCCATCGGCCAGTTCTTACAGGGGAACTTTGAGGTACAAGGGTAGGAGACACAGGAAAGTTCAGCAAGTTTTGGCATTCTCAGATTTATTATTCACATTGTCAGCTATCATCTGAATTTTGAGCTATCCTGCCAAGGGAGGGACACAGTTCTCCTGAGACTGTCTGTCCACTTAGCAGGTATAGGGCAGCCTTCTCTCCAACTTCCGCTGAGCAGCTGCATCGTAATAGGTATTTTCTACTCAGTCCTACAGTTGGCTCCAAGGATACTTTTATAATAAGAGTTTGAGGATTTGGGGAACATATCTCTTTTTTTTTTTTAAGACAGTCTCACTCTGTCACCCAGGTTAGAGTGCAGTGGTGAGATCTTCTCGGCTCACTGCAACCTCCACTTCCCAGGTTCAAGCAATTCTCCTGTCTCAGCTTCTTGAGCAGCTGGGATTATAGGCATGCACCACCACGGCTGGCTAATTTTTGTATTTTTAGTAGAGACGGTCTCAAACTCCTGACTTCAGGTGATCCACCCGACTTAGCCTCTCAAAATGCTGGATTGCAGGTGTGAGCCAGCCTATATCCCTTAAGAATGGCAAGGGCTATAGGAAAAATATCTAGTTAGAAAATATTCTAAAATGAGGGTCACCTCACTAGGTACAAAATGAGAGGTACAGATCATTATGTAATAGTATTCTCTAGAGGAAGGGGAGTATGCTAGTCTTATGGTCATAGGAAAAGCTTCAGGAAATAGATGGGACTTGACCTTGACCCTGGAAGGTGAGAGTAAAGCCTGTGAGCAAGAGAGCAGAGGAATCTGCAGGGTGGAGTGAAGAAGTGACAAGCTGCTTGACTTAAGCAGATGGTCTGTGCTGGGAAGCAGTACAAAGATTGAAAGGGTAGACTGGGGTAGAGCTGGGGAGAACTCTGAACTTCAGGCTGAGTGCTGACTCCATTCAGCAGGTAGTGGGCAAAACCCAGAAGAGGCCTGAGGTGGTGGGGTGGGGTAGGGATGTGGGGATGTTAGGAAAGCCAAGCTGTGTGTACTTGGGGAAATTGTAAGCCAAGACCTCTCAAATGCTAGCCCATGAGGTGGTGCCCATTTGCCTGCATCTGGGCATGGGGATGGGGAGTGGGTTGGGTGAAGGTGGCAGCAATTGGTCTAAGTGGCAATGACATTAGCATTGTTTTCAAAAGTCTTCATTATACTCTCTAAATGACTTTATCCTTGCCTAGAGCTTCAACTACCTGCCAATGATTCACAAATTAAATTATTCAGTTCTTTTCTGAGATCAAACTCATAAACACAACTGCCTACAACATGTCTCCCTCAAGACTTCTCAAACTCAACGTGAACTCATTTTCCCCTTCCCCAAACTGCTCCTCATCCCCAGCATTCCTTGTTTCAAGGAATGGTGACATTGAGCCAGGTGCACAAGTATTCATTCTGATGCTTTCCTGTCCTTTAGCACCACCATCTCAAATCCCCTGCCAAGTTTCATCTCCGAAATCTCTGGAATCCAGCCATTTCATGCTACCTCCACTGCTACCATGGAATCCAAGCCTCCATTCTCTCTCACCTGGGCAACTCATCTCTATGGATCCTCACATGCTTTATTATTATAATTCTGTTCCACACACTGAGGCAAGAATGATAATTTCAAAACTCAAAACTAAGCCACTCCTGGCCAGGCACTGTGGCTCATGCCTGTAATCCCAGCACTTTGGGAGGCAGAGGTGGGAGGATTGCTGAAGCCCGGCAGTTCAAGACCAGCATGGGCAACATAGCAAGACTCCTTCTTTAGGTGAAAACCAAACCAACCTAAGCCACTCCCATACTTAAAACTCTTCAATGGTTCCTGGCTATTTTTCAAAATAAAAAGTGAACTTCTGAAGCCTTGCAGTGTCTGGCTTGTTTCCTCTTCTCCCATCTTACTCCATCCAGTCATGCTAGCCTTAAATTGCCATGGTCTCTCAGCCCCACAGAACCTTTGCATGTGCTATTCCAGATACTATGTTCTTCCCTGTTGCTTCCCCACAACTACTTAAAAGTTGTTCAAAAGCCAGGCATGGTGGCTCACATCTGTAATTCCAGCACTTTGAGAGGTCAAGGTGGGCGAATCACTAGAGGTCAGGAGTTCGAGACTTGCCTGGCCAATATGGCAAATCCCCGTCTCTACTAAAAATACAAAAACTAGCTGGGCCTGGTGGTGCATGCCTGTAGTTCCAGATACTTGGGAAGCTAAGGTGGGAGAATTGGCTGAACCTGGGAGATGAAGGTTGCAGTGAGCCGAGATCACACCACTGCATTCCAGCCTGGATGACAGAGCGAGACTGTGTCTCAAGAAGAAAAAAAAAAGCTGTTCATTTTTCAGAGCTCAGTTAAAACATCACTTCCTCAAAAAAGCTTTCCCTGACCCTCAAACTTGGTTAGGTCTACTTCACACAGTGGCCTTTACTTTTTTTTTTTTTTTGAGACAGAGCGTTGCTCTGTCACCCAGTGCTGCGATCTCAGTTCACTGCAACCTCCATCTCCCAAGTTCAAGCAATTTTCCTTTGTCAGCCTCCCAAGTAGCTGGGATTACAGGCGCCCACCACCTCACCTGGCTAATTTTTGTATTTTTAGTAGAGATGGGGTTTCACCATCTTAGCCAAGCTGGTCTTAAACTCCTGAGCTCGTGATCCACCCACCCTAGCCTCCCAAAGTGCTGGAATTACAGGTGTGAGCCGCATCTGGTATTTTTTTTTTTTTTTTACTGTGACCCATAGTATACTTTATTTCCTAGTATACACATATGTAAACTGAATGATTCTTACCCTTAATATGATACATATTTTCTATTATTTCAATTAAATGTGTCACAGAACCTTTTGAAGAAAAATCCTAATTCATAATCTTAAAACCATGTCTTTCTTTCAAAGCACTCAGCATACTTTTTATGATTGTTGGGTTAATATCTACCTTCCTCATTACCTATATTCTCCATGAGGTTAGGGCGTAGTTGGTATTTTGCTTAGCCTTAACAGGCACTTAATAAACATTTGGAATGAAACATAAGTTGGTTGGTAAGTACTTTTCCTTGTAGCACTCATCACAATTGTCTCTAATGACTCTAATTACCTGTTATAATCATTAAGCTTCTTCACTCTAAACTCAAACTCCAGGAGGTCAGGAATCCCGTCTGTTCACCCCTTCTTGCATCCCTAGCACCTAACCGCATTACCTGGAAAATGGTAAATAAAAAATCATTTCCCAAAGAACACAATTTAAATTCTGGTATCCATACTGGCCAGCATGAATTAACAAAGCTGAGGGAAAATGTCCACTGTTTGCATATTTACGCACTCTAACACCACTTGCCTCAGAGACCTCAATCTTTACTTCGGAAACTAAGAAAAACCAAATTTATTTCAAAAAGGAAATGAACTCTGCATTGGAAACATGCTCTTCATGTGTGGCCAGATACGGCAAGCCAGGAACTACTATGTGGATTCACAAAAAGATAAACAGCTCATCATATGGAAACAGATTATAGGTTCTAAGCATTTAAAAAAAAAATCTGGGACAAATAGGTGACAAAAAACAAATTTGGTTGATAATGTCTCATTTAATCACGATTCCATAAATCACTGCTATTTCAGAGTGTTCTCATTCCTTTCATATATTGCATATTATATTTATTTAAATGGAGTAAGATATACTTTGTACTTACCTTGTAATTACCAGGAGAGCTTCCCTGCAGACAAAGCATGTATAAGTGAATAGCTACAACAGATGGTATAAGCCTAAGCTTCTTGTTACAAATGTCACATGGGCATAGGAGCATGAATGGATTTAGAGCGATTAAGTTGGTTGGCTTGTAGCAGCAAATTCTTTGACATCATAAACTCAGTCACTTGGGCTAAATACCCTTAGTATTTAAGAACTAATCTCTTTCTCTCATAGCTTTCTAATCTCTGTATCTACTGAATTTATTAAAAACAAAATGCTTCTGTAGAGTTTTTCTTTTTAAAAGTATTCCAGGTAATAATTTTAAAATGACAGAATTAAACTATCAATATCTTTTTTTTTTTTAAGAGATAAGGTTTCACCATGTTGGCCACGACCTGGTTTAAAATGACAGAATTTAAATTTTAAAATGACAGAATTAAACTATCAATATCTTTTTTTTTTTTTAAAGAGATGAGGTTTCACCATGTTGACCTCCTGACCTGGTGATCCGCCCGCCTCAGCCTCCCAAAGTGCTGGGAGCCACCGCGCCCAGCCTCCAACGATCACAATTTTTGACTCCCCTCCCCATGAATGAATGAATCTAGGTCTTATCAGTGGCCGCTAACATCACAAAAAGAGCCAAGACATTAGTGACTCCTGAATGGAAGTATACATCATGTCTGTGAAGTATTCCTTTCAGAAAATTCCAATCCAAAAGTGATCAAGCCTCTAGATCAGCACTATGCAATAGAAATATGTGACCCACATACGTAATTGCACATCTCAACTCAAATCACATTTCAAGTGCTCAAAAGCTGAATGTGGCTACTATATTGGACAGTACAGTTCTGTTTAACTATGGAATTACAGGATATATGAGAACAGAGGGACACAGCATTACAAGTACGCAATCAACAGTGTATGGACTGTATTTAGATCCTAATCTGAACAAAATATAAAACACATTATGTGAGGGCAATTTGAACAATCACTGGGTATTTGTGATATTAAGGAGTTATTATTCATTTATTTAGATGTGATAATGGTCCTGTGGTTAATTTTTTTTTTTTAATCACTTAAAGCTATAGACCGAAATATTTATGGATGAAGTAATTTGATGCCTGAGGTTTGCTTCAAAATAACCCCCAGGGTGAGCAGAGGATGTATAGACGAAAAAAGATTGGCCATGAACTGATAATGAATTGAAGCTGATGATAAGTATATGGGAAAAAAAATCACTGTACTATTTTCTGTACTTCTGAATGTATTTGAAATTTTCCAAGTTAAAAAAAAAAAAGACTGTGGGATAAGATTACAGTAACAGTGCTCATATTCTTGAAAGTATAATTCATTAGACACTACTATAAGTCTCTCTAAACCTGAAAGAACCAGTGGCTGCTGCCACCACAACTAACACACAGGTAATAAACCAGGAAAATCTTACAAATAAAAACCGAACAACAAAAGTAATGCTTTCTTTTTTGGTTTTATTTATTTTTGGGATGGAGTCTTGCTCTGTTGCCCAGGCTAGAGTGCAACGGCGTGATCTCAGCTCACTGCACTGCAACCTCTGCCTCCTGGCTTCAAGCTATACTCCTGCTTTGGTCTCCCAAGTAGCTGGAATTACAGGTGCCCACCACCACGCCTGGCTAGTTTTTGTTATTTTTAGTAGAGACGGGGTTTTGCCATGTTGGCGAGGCTGGTCTCGAACTCCTGACCTCAGGTGATCCACCCACCTCAGCCTCCCAAAGGGCTGGGATTATAGGCATGAGCCACAGTACCCGGCCTGCTCACTCAGGTTATTAAAACCTTGCAAGGGCCAAAGGAAAAAGGGAATTTTTTTTTCTCCACCTGTGGCAGCAGATTTCCTGCCCTCATAGATGTCTTGGTGGCAAGGCTGTCTGGACACCAAACACACATAGCATAATTCACCTATTTCTACTCTTCCTATATCTCATCAGAGAGCAAATGGTGGAGATTTCTAACAAAAAGGCACAGAGGATTGTGGGGTTCTATGAGACTAAGCATAACAGATTTTAAGGTTTATAAAATTACACACACATTTTGGAGACAAGTGGCCCTCATTACCTATCTGGGAACCTATATAATGTATAATGTATAAATTAATGCAAATTAAACAACAGAAAAGGGACAAAGGCATTAGTATCTTGCACCCAAAATCTTCCAACTACAGTACATAACATCATTTCCAAAATTGACGGTATCCTTGCCTATCCAGACTTGGATTTTGCAGATAAAGTTTGGCTTTTAAGATTCACATTCCCATAACAAATGCCTGCTTCATAAATTTGAATTTTTGAATGAAAATATGTTTCATCAATGTGAAAGTGTGTGTTAAGTGATTTAGAAGGCAAAAAATTGGCAGCAAAGGCACAAACTAAAAAATAAAAATGATTTTTATTTAGTTTTTTGAAAATATAAATAACAAAATTGGCAAAAAACCAAAACAGAACCAAAAAAAAATGATGTTTATATGAGTGATCATCTCCAAGCATAACAGCATTTATTAATGAATATAAAAAATAAGTTTTATTATTTTTATTTGCTTTCCCCCAGATTTGACTACATGGATAGTTTTAGAAGCTTGAGTTCCTAGGATAATTCCATAACTACAGTGGCTCCTACAACGTGACGGAGTGAGGTTAAGGTCCCACTCCTATCACGGAAATACCCTTGGTGATTCCGAACTAGACCCTTAGAAATGTAAAAAAAAACAGGTGCTTTCATTAGGATCCTTCTAACATGGAAAAAATACAGCCCTCATCCATTAAAACACAATCCAATTTGGGTACTCTTAAGGTTTTCTAAGTTCTCCACATGAAAATAAAACTAGGCCACCGTCTTTTCTGGCAACTCAGCCTACAGCCATTGCCATCTTCCTAACTAGCAGCCTCCCAAGCTGCACACAAACTGGGATTAACAAAACCAAATATAACAACGTTTCTGACCTTTCTTCCTAGAACTCAAAGGGCTCTTCAGGTAGAAAAGGTCAGGAAGTTTTGCATCAAGCTTGCCTTCACACTGTTAGTGGAAGGGTTGTGCAATCCACCCATCACACATCTGTTTTGAGTGTTTCAGTGTACTTACCCATCACCACACAAGAAGTTAAAGTAAATTAACAAGTCACTCTGGACCAAGCCCCTCAAAACAGAGGCAAATCTGGTGAACCAAGGTCATTCACTGCCTGTGGTAATAACCTCGGTTCACCTAAGTCTTTTCCTGAAGAACCACATTAATCTCCTGATTCAAGAGGCACCTCTGGCCAGCACAGAGCACAGAAGGAAAGCATAACTTCAGGGTAGGGGAACGCCACATGGAATTTAGAAGTTGCAGTTTAGTCTACAGCAAAAGATGGCGGCATCACTAATATTTAGAGCTGGAAAGAGCGTTGGCTGGACCACACTCCTGGAGCATCTTTACTAATACAGCTTAACAGCAGTTGCCCAGATGTCGTTGCTGGGGAGCGGGGGAAGGACCCATCCTTGGGGAATGAAGTTGCCTTTGGGATGATCAGATGGCACCAGGTACTGATCCCAATCATGCCTTAATAAGAACATTACAGAACAACTGTTTATTTGTTTTATTCCAGATAAGATGTTCAGCAACTGAATATTCTAAGACTTAGCTTTCAAATGACTGATATACTAACTTACTACAGAACTTGATTTCTAGGAATCAAGAAAATGACTATATTTCTTAAATGTACACATAAAAGGAAGAAAAAATCTGAAGAACTTATAACCTTATGGATAACCAAATAATAAAGTCAATCCTCATTATTTGCAGACTGGGTATTTGCATATGTGCCTACTAACTAAAATTTATTTTGTAACCCCCAAATCAATCACTTGTGGCCCTTTCATAGATACTAGTAGACATACACAGTGGCAAAAAAATCTGAGTCATGAAAATGCAGTTACCAGCTGAGGTCAAAGAAGGCAATAATTACTCTGCTTTTTTTCAGCTCCTATTAATATAAACGTGTTCTTTTCTTTATTTAGTGCCACATTTTCCACAATTTTGCGCTTTTTACTGACGACTTTGCTGTTTAAAATGGCCCTGGCCGGGCGCAGTGGCTCAAGCCTGTAATCCCAGCACTTTGGGAGGCCGAGGCAGGTGGATCACGAGGTCAAGAGATCGAGACCAGCCTGGTCAACATGGTGAAACCCCGTCTCTACTAAAAATACAAAAAAATTACCTGGGCATGGTGGCGTGTGCCTGTAATCCCAGCTACTCAGGAGGCTGAGGCAGGAGAATTGCCTGAACCCAGGAGGAGGAGGTTGCGGTGAGCCGAGATCGTGCCATTGCACTCCAGCCTGGGTTAACAAGAGCGAAACTCCGTCTCAAAAAAAAAATAAAAATAAATAAATAAATAAATAAATAAAATGGCCCTAAGTGTAGTGTTCCTAAGTGCAAGAAGACTGTGATATGCTTTGTGAAGAAAATGTGTTAGGTAAGCTTCATTTAGGCATGAGGTATAGTACAATTAGCTGTGAGTTCAATGTTAGTAAATCACC